GCTTATACCATGGATGTAAATGCTTATACATGTACATTGTATTTACGTGATAGATGTGTGAAAATATACATTTGTTGAGAGAGTGGCGTAAAAATCGGGCGGTGTCATCACCGGGCGAACTAATTGAATACAAACACCAGACTGACTGGACAGATGGCCAAACTAAACGGATACATTTTAAAATTAACCATGACGCAAAAAATAGGTGGCCAAACTACTTGAGTGGCCGAATGATTGAGCTTTTACGGTAATAATATTGTGAAAATGTACAAAAATAATGAATTAAAGATATAGAAATCAGTAGTTTTCCAATGTATATTATATTTGTTAATGACATTTTAATAACAATTTACCAGTTTTGTCCATTTCATGCTGCTTCCCTTCAAAATCTTCAGACATTTCTATACCCTCCTCTTCATCTTTGATGTCATGTTGATTATCAAAGTCATCCTCTTGTGCGTTTTCATCGCCAGGCTTTTTTACATCTTGTACCTAAGAAAATAGTAAATTTAGTATTACTGAAACTAAAATAAGCAAAATTCAATTTTAATTACTAGCATTACATCAATTTAGAAATTCAAAGAAAACAAAGATAATACAAGAGATGTAACAAGTAAAGAAAATGTAAATATATATTATACAAGAAAAGATCAGTGTATCAACCCACGTTGAGCACCAGTTGTTCAGATGTGTTGCTCTACTATATTGTTCACAAACTGAGCAGAATTCATTCCACATGAAACAGATGATTATACTCTTGACAAGAATGTATTTCTTTGTCTCTCTCTTCATCTACACAACAACTTTCTGATCATAAAATACATTTCATTTAGCAGATTCTTAAATTACGGTTATTTTACCTGATCTTCATTTTCAATCTGATCACTGACGTCTTTAACGCCTTCACCTTCTCCGATACCACCACCTTCAATGTCCTCAAACTGTGTTGACCCATCACCACCTAACTCATCGCTGAACTCGGCTGGCAGACAAAAACCCTGGTAGCAAGTAAGAAACAGTATGCATAGTTATCAAAAGCACATTTGATCTATGCACTTATTTAAATGATAGAGGAGAGTGTGTGATCAAATTAAGTTTTATTTTAACAATCCAGTAGACAAATTGGTTAATGTGCACTTCTGAAAATATAAAAAACAATGCACTTATTTTTTTAAACAAATATTTGCAACTAAAATGTTTAGTAATATAAATATGACAAAACCACATTCAGATTGTTGTGGACAGCCATCTTGATTTAAACCAGATTAATTTACATTTTTCAAACTCCTATAAATAGACACAATGTAACAATAAACAAACAATAGTGTCATCGATTGAGTAGTTAATACTATCACATTGTTTAGTCCTTCAAAGCATATACTATTATATTGATATTGTTTTTTAACTTACCTTTGTCGCTAGCTCTGAAAATATTCCAAGCAGCACTGAGAGCAACTTGGATGTTGTTCGATGAGATGTTAACAATATGACTAAGTGATGATAGACCACACCCATATATTGGTGTACAAGAGGAACCACTTGTAGTAATAGTGACGCACATTTATTGCATATCTGCATCAAGAAATAAATAAAATTAATGTGTCTATTGTACCACGAATATTTAATTGGGGTAACATTTTTGTGTGTGTAGAGAGCTATATGAATAGAAATAGTGATTTTTAAAATTACAAAACTTAATGCATTTCAAAGAAGTGAGATAAAAGTTGTGATGACCTATACAAATGTATGCTTCACGGCAATTTTGCTAAGTTGATCACTGTAACAGATTTTTGAAAGCCAAAAGAAAAAAACTTTGGGTACCCAAAAAACTTTTCAAATTATGAGCCTCAATTACATGCATTCTGACGAATTTGAAATTCAAAATGGCCACATTAGTAAGGCTTGACGCTACAAAGAAATTATGATATTACTGCTTCCATGGAATGACTTATTATGTACCCCCCTTTTTTATTTTTTTTGTCTATACTTTTATAAAAAGGTGACAAACAGGGAATGCAAGTTATGTAACATACCTCTAAATCTTGGCGTGACTGGCAATCATCTCGAAGACTACACAACCTTGTAACCAACCCAGTCAGAATCTTGTTAACATTTGTCAAATCCAAAGACGTCTTGTCCACATTCAAACCGCCACATAAAGACTTCACTAAAAGAGCTTCCTGGAGCTGGCTGCCAAGGTCGACTGCCTCTGTATGAAGATTAAAACATAAGATGAAATATAAAAAAAAAAATTCTACCTCACCAGTACTATAGTACTTGATATTAGCACAATAAATTGATATAAGCAGCAATTTTGTAACCTGCAATCAGTTATGAAGTTAGAAAAACAGACTACAATGTTCAAAAGCATGGAAATAAATCCATGTTTAGGATTGAGTTAGCATATCAGGCTAGATATCCACGGAATGTCATTGTCTTTCACAAACTTTTGTCTTTACAAATACATAAAATCTGCAAATTATGAAAATTTGTAGCAGGTAATATTAAACTCTTTCCTGTATACACAACCATAGTACATTTCCCTAGATTTTATTTTTAACAAAGGAGAAAATAATGACAGTCTCACCTTCATTTTTGTCTTCCTTATCTTCATCTTCATCCTTTCCCGCATCTTTGATGTTCGATTTCACCAGCTTCTGAATTGCTACTAACAGCTTAGTTACAAATACCTCTACGTCTTCCTGGAAACCTTCAAGAATGCAAACAGGAGTTTCATCTTGGGCTGATTTATCCACAGCATCCGGTTCAGTTTTTATTTTGTCTGTCCATACCTTGAATTCGTTTGACTTTGAGAAGAGCTTGGTTCTCACACAGACAAGAGGTTCAATAAGCGGAGATGAAGTTTCAACAAAAGAAGATATAAAGTAGCTTTCTATATTGCTGAGCAGTGACAATACATTGTCAATCTGTGCAAATGACCCATCCAGTAGTGAAACATGAGACCTGTATTGACATAAAAATTCAGTTTGATGACAAAACAATTACAGTAAAACACCAAAATCCATAAAATTAAATACATGCGATGCAGAAATTCAGAAGTGCATCATGATAATACATTTAATATTTTACTGAATGAAGAGCCTGGCAGGAATGTATGTAGGTCCTTTTTATGTACAAGACCAAAAATTTTGAATTACTCCAGAAGTTCACTTACCATGTTAATATACTAGTTGATTTATTTTCCAATTCTAGTTTCTTCGTCAAAGTGTCTAGGGTTTCTTTTTGACTTACAACCATGGAAATACATTCCTGCATAACATAGGATAAAAAGAAATAGACAACTTCAGATGTTGCGAATACAACTTGTAGACAAGTAACTTGTATTATACATCTCTTTCACTGCAATCATGTAAAAGTTCCACATGAAAAAACCATAATGGGGCAGAAAAACATACCACGATTATACTACAATACCGCAGTGGATCAATTAGAAGCACATCCTCAACAGAAATTAACAAACGAAAAGCTGCATTTAATGTATTCTGGATCATTGAGAATTGGACCATAGACAACTCTAGTCATAACCAAGACATATTGCTACTCAATAGAGTGAATATTCTAAGGTTATTTTAGTCTGCAATCTGAAAATACACTAGCTATAGTTGATCAATACTTTCAGTCGATCTTGTTGTAATATGTATATAATTTTGAATATAATTTCTACAATTACACTTTAATACAAATGAAATACAGTTGGTTGTAAATTCAAATGGTATTAGAATGATTATTCTCAAGAAATGTTAACACCTTTACCTGGAGTAATTCATAGACTTCCTTGTAAGTTTCACTGCCTTGCCTGACAGTCTCAATCTTAGCAAGGTGTTGGGATGGAATGGGTGATGGGTGCACAGCGCCATCTTTGGAGTCGGGACAACAACAGAGAACAAGTTTGAATTGCTGCAGTGCATCAAAAGCTTGGTCAATGATGTCTTTAGCTGTTTCTATCCATTGATACAGCTCAGTCTGTGGTGGTAGAGTGGCAATGTGTTTTACAGTGGCTTCATGGGTAGAAGTCTTCAACTGCTCCAAATTTAGGAGATGATTTCTGAAGAAAAATAACAAGAAGTCAGTACATGATGTTTACTCTGTGGAGGTACATAACATTAGAATCAACACAGAAGATTTGTTTTCAATTTTTGACTCCCGTGTGCGAAGCACACAATGGGAGTCTTTGCTGTTACCCTGTCTGTATGTGTGTATCCGTCTGTTCCACTGATATCTCAAGAACCATACATCGGTTTCTGATGAAACTTGGTGCATAGATGCTCTGGGCCAATGCGCAAATTTTGCATGATAATTAGCTCATTTTTAGCTGTTCCATGATTGTTCCACTGATATCTAAAGAACCACTCATTGAATTTTGATGAAACTTGGTACATAGATGCTCTGAACTTACGCGCATATTTGATTAGTTTTTAGTGAAAATCCGTGCATATTAATTACCTAATTTGCATGACAATTAGCTAATTTTTAGCTGTTCCATGACTGTTCCACTGATATCTAAAGAACCACTCATTGGATTTTGATGAAACTTGGTTCATAG